TCTCTCTCTCTCTTGCTCTCCCTCCCTTTTTTCCCCCAGTGCACCCCTCCCTCTCTTTCACATCACACACCATTATATCCACACTGCAACACACTGCCTTGCACAGCCACCAACTTAAAAATCAATTCCACCTCCCCATCCAAGCTCAGAATGTCAGGTCAACTATGGCTATCGCTGTATCCATAAACCCTGTAATTACTCAAAGAACAGAGGAGGTAGCCTGCAATTCAACGCATCAGCCTCTGCAGTGATTGGCCATTGAAACGAAATGGCACTAATTACCAAGCAGACCTTTTTTTGCCACTAGCAGACATAATTTAGTGAACTCTTCATCTTGTGTGAAAGGGCAAATTAACATCTTCGGATTCACTGGTTTTGCACAGATTCAGGAGTGCAAAATTTAACAATTTTAATGCTTTTTGAAGGACAAACATTAACAAACATAATAATATTTTTTCTTGCTATTCCTGTGGCATTTAAGGACTGTGTGTGGTAAATGCTGATACTGATAAAAAACCTGCTTCCAATGGCTGAAAACATTAGGTAAAATATGTTTCTCAAAGGTATTAAAACAGATTCTAACAAACCACTTAGAGCTTGGAAAGCTCTTTAAACCTCTGCCTGTGGAGTTGACTGTCAGTATGAATGCTAATGCATGACAGATGCTTAAATTTTCATAGAAGAATAGTTTTCAGTCGCAGAACGTTCAATCCACCAGGCTTCCTCTAATGAACAGATAACAGCTTCACAGAAGAAAAAGAAATCCTGCAGAGCCGTTTTTTGTCCAGGTAATTGATGGACTGAACTGCTGCATGCTAAGAAGCCTGTCCTATACTGTGTTTGAACAAATATTATATTTAGTGACTGCTTCCTGCCTGTTGGTGTGCCAGTTGTTCTTATGCTGTTCATCCAAAATTTGTTGAAACCCACATTTATTTTACGTTCTAGTGCAGATTGGAAGGTTTCGAAAGGTACCAAACATGCCAGACTGAAATCGTATTTCCATTTGAGTTGTGAGTTTTAATATTTCACTCAGTGTAAACATCATATGCAGAGTTTGAACAAGCTTATACAGAATATATGATACTGTCTAGTGTAGAATAAATGGGGTTTTCCAACCTTAAAGCTTCTAAAACAGAAAGAAAACGGAAAACTGGATGTTAAGAGGTACATTTTTATTTATATTTCAACAATAATCAATCTCTCAGTTCACTGCATTTTAACAAGAACGAGTCCAGACAGAGCTGTCAAACACAAAGCTGAAGCTAAAGGAAATGCTATGATGATAGAAGAAAAGTAGGAGGATCACCAAAGTTAATACAATTCCTCCTTGCCATGAATGTCTGAACCAAATTTCCTGGTAATCTATCTAATAGCTGTGAAGAAATTTAACTACACTAAGTCAGGCGATCGTCAAATCAGTAGGATTCATCCTCTGGGAACATTTGTACAAAACGTCATGGCAAACCCACCATCAGATCTTGACCGTGAGGTCTAGTTAAAAAAATCTGAAAATATTCATTGAACTTCAATATTAAATGAATTCTAATATTTCACTCAATGTAAACATTAAAGCTTGTTAGCTTCAATGCAGAATATATAAGTTATTATACTGTCTAGTGTAGAATATGAGATTTTTCCAACCCTAAAGCTACTAAAAGAGAAAGAAAATTGGAAACTGGATGTTAAGAGGTACATAATTATTTACATTTTTAACAAAAATCTATCTTTCACTTTGCTATATTTCTAACGAGAACGAGCCCAGACAGAGCTGTCACACACACAGTAAGCAACACGCTGATTACAAAAATCCATATAGCTAAGCAGGAGAGAATCACTTTAATACATAATTTCTGGACAAACAACAGTGTATCATCTTTACACAGGATGCTGAATTTTGAGTCATCATGAGGCGGACAAAATGTCAGGATTAAAAATAGATAATAAAGATGTATGCTATTATTATTCTAGGATGATGTCTTAAAATAAACTCCCAAAGCCTCATGGGAGTTTTAAGCAGGAGCGTACTGAACTGTAAGTGATTTTTTTTTTTTTTTTTTTTTTTTTGGGAAGGGCACACTGATTTAAAACTAGGCTTGGCGAATTATTAAGAATGTACGCATGAAAAAGATTCATTTAATCTATAACAGTTATCTAGGCCAATAAAATATTCAAAAAATTGTAAGATCCAATCGACTGCTGTTCATTTCCTGACAGAAGAGTAGGGGTATTATTCTCTGTCCTCATCTGTCCAAAGCACCATAGTGGCATCTAGTGGGGCTGAGTGGTTAAAAAAAACAAGAAATAGCACACAGGTTTGTACTCGTCCACACGAGAGGAAATACAACACTGTACACACACAGTACCGAAAAATATACACTAAAATACGTGGTCTGTGACCTTTATGTGGAAAAAAAAAACTGTTACCAGGCGTGTTCCTGTCAAACAAACAAGGTGGATGCAAATTAAGCAGATGTGGTGGTACATCTATAAAAACCACATTAGGTTTAAGAGTGAGCGACTAAGAGGATGCTGTTGAGTGGTCGTAGCAGGGGAAAAGGTGGTTGTTGCGTGACTCATATCAAGGATGTTCTATCTTCACATTACCATTCTCGCTAAAAACAGAAAAACTCCAAGCATGAGACCCTGATTAATGTGATGATGAGGTGTGCAGTGTGAACCCTGCTACGTTCACACTGCAGGCAAAAGTGGCCAAAATCTGATTTGCTTTTTGCTCATATGTCTGTTTTTCAGCACAAATCACAGGAAATCTGATCTTTTCACTTTAATATGGGGTCCTAAACCAGATACAGGTTTGATTTTTTTGCAATGCAATCTCAGAGTGAGTCACTGTGGATTCCCATTCACCACAATTCTGGTGCTGGTGGGAGTCTGTGAATATGAAAGACAGCTGCGATGGAGGTAGTCAGTGGAAGGTTTCTGTTTCTGTGAAGCCATTCATGTCACAATCCCACCAATCTTGGCTTTGACTACGCACATCTGCATGCACACCTCTGTACAGGAGTAGCAGTCATTGCTCCACAAAAAGCCATAATTCAACATTTGGCATCATCCTCGTTATCACCTGCTCACACATTTAATGTCTTTAACTGCACATAAACTTATAAATGAAACAGTAAACGCTGACTTCAGTGCTGCATGTGACATATTTGTTATTGGTCACACTGGAATCTGATATTGGCCACAACTGAAAACTGATGGAAATGTTATTACTTTTCCAGGTAGTATCGCATAATTGTTTTGACCTGACGTCACTAGGTTAAAAGCTAAGGTATCACCAAAGTTCATACATCCTGAGGGGAACATAAATGTTTGTGCCAAATTTGATGGCATCCATTATTTGTTGAAACATGCAACTAAACTTACTTGGCGCTAGAGGAAAATGGGATGGGATCACCAAAGTCAAGCAGATGTTGAGATTTCACTCTATAAGTAAAAACTTTGAGCTGCTGGTGGCGCTACATGACCAGTCAGGGTTTCACCAAAGTCATGAGGATTCATCATCTTGGCACCTTGAATGTCAGAACCAGATTTCAGGGCAATAAATCCGATAGTTGTTGAGATATTTCACTAAGAACCTAAATGGGAACCTTGTAGGGGCGCTAGAGGAAAAATCAGAGGATTATCAAAGTCAGTAGGCTTCATTGTCTGGAGAAATGATTATCTAAAATGTCATGGTAATCCATCTGATAGTTGTTGCCATCCGTAGCCACACTCCCAGCATGGCTAAAAACATTGTCAGAAGAATTAGACAAGCATTGCATTGTGCAGTGAAAGTTCAGCCATGGGCAACCTCAACAGAAACTGTCTCTTTTTGCTCTTTTTTATTCAGCTTCACTTGTATTTTCTTCATCAGGTAATCCATTCTCCTCTCCTGCTGCTCTCTAAAAAAGGATGCAGAGATTTTCCTGCGCAGCCGTCTGGCGTAAACCTCGAGGAACACCAGAGAGTAGCTCATCAGCCAGAGACAACCCAGCAGGAGCCTGACTCCTTGGTTCGGAGCTGAAGTTGACACATCACAGAGCGATGGCTCGGGGTTAAAGGTCCACTTGTATTCCCTGTGGAAGTTTGTGAGCTCCCGCGTGACACAGGATTGTGGGATGATACAAAAAGCAGGGGGGAACCAGTGGACCTATCAGGAGATCGAGAAAAAAGAGCAAATACATGAAAGCTATAAAAGTGAGGAGGCAAATACTGCAGGTACAATAAAAAGGGACTGCAGTGGTGCAACAGTTGCTGTCTTACCTTATAATTCACATTTATGCTGGCAGATGTCGGTGGAAAATCCAGTAACCACGGCACAATTACCTGAACTATATGATACACAACATGATCCAAAGCTACTATTAACGTTATTGCAATGAAATATAATGTTACCACAACCAGTGCTATGAAGCAAGAGGTACATTCATCACTTGTTATTTTGTATCTCGTCAGATACTTTTTATTTTTAGCTGTCTTTTTGTTGCCAGCAGGAGTCGCTTTATCCAGGAGCTCTTTGGAGATGTAACCATTATCAAATTGAACTGATGTCAGATAAGATTTTAAGTAGCGTGCAGATTCAAATATTAGTAAAGCAACAAAAATGGCAGCAAGGATCCGGTTTGACAGCAGTTTGTATTCTTTTATCAGGTTCCTGGCATGTGAGAAGTTGACCTCTATCTGCCCAATCATCTTAGTAAACCTGCTTTTGACTTCTGACACATTAACATGTGTGAAATGATCTAACTTCCTCAAGTTGGTGACGATGCTCAAGTCTTCCCTTTTCACTTTGATGGCTTCCTCAACAAGGTCTCGCTTTGCTTTGTTCAACGGTTCAGATGAGTTCAGTAAAGTCTTGGTAAAACCCTCAGCGGTGCACTTCAAGATGCGTGCGACCACCCCAACGTTCACGGTGATATTAGGGACGACGTTCAAAACTAAAATCATGACAGAGGCCGAGATGAGGAGTTTACGTCCCTGTTTGGTGCAGACGGTGGGCAGAGTCATGGTGAGCACGCAGCGCAGCGGGTGACACAGGAAGGAGACCAGGAACATGGCCACACTGTAGATGCAGGTGGTCTGAATGGACGCTTCATGGTTGTATTTCAGAGTGTTTGACAGCCAGTGATGAAGCAGGCCGCCAGTGATAATGGCGAGTGTGATACAGAGAGACAGTAGAGTCAGGACGTGTCTGCCAGCAGGTGCAGGTGCAGAGTAAACATCCCAGAGATAAAGCAGGACAGATTTTAGAGCCTGTCTGCAAGATCCTGTTCTGTTCCTGAGGAGAAAAAAAAACACAATTGTTTGACAGTTTGGAGAATTCTCTTATCTGCTTTCTTGCAAAGAAATGTAAGCCTGGTGAATTTAAGAAGAATTGGGGTGGTTTTATAACCTTTCTGGAGACCTCAACATAGTACTCCTTTTATATTCACGTGTGTGCTATATATGATTGTTTCATTCCCCTCTTCCAACTGTAAACTAGCAAATTCCTCTGTCTTTGAATAGGTGTAAATTAGTGGACGAAGGGGTCAGTAGGTGGACGGGAGGGATGTGTTTGCGGTGTGAGGGGCAGATGGTGAATGGAGGGAGGGAGTGGTGGGCTGATCAAGCATCTATGAGAATATATTTTTGCACATTGTTGCATTATTTAGCACTATAGCGATTTTATGTTACAAAATCAATTAAAACTTTTTTTCATAAATGTCAGTTAAATGTGAAGCTTAACTTAGCATAAAGACTGAAATCAAGGGGAAACAGTACAGAAAAATACACCTACCAACGCCTCTGAAGCTCTCTTTTATATCTTGTTTAATCCGTACAGAAGTGGTTTGATGGAGGGTTACCTAACCTAACTTGCTGCTGGCTTCAGCTTCAAATCACATGAACATGAGTGTGGTATGTATCTTCTCTTCCAACTCTTGGCAAGTCAGCAAATGAGCACAGTATCCCACTATTACCTTGTGTGAAGATACAGTTATATAGCTTGTAACTCCCCGTAAAAACTCTCATCAAGAAAACAAATCAACCATTTTGATGTCAAATGATTTCCTTAACTACACAAAATTAAAAACTCAGAAGAAGATCAAATTAACTAGATAGATAGATAGATAGATAAGATAGCATAGATAGATAGATAACAATAATTAAACAGTTCTTACCTGAGAGGGGTAATAACGGTCTCTGTGATGGACTTCATTCTGTCTATGAAAATTTGAGTTTAAGGAAAAACAGGACTGCGAAGTGATGAAGGATGGAAGTTAAAAGGAGGAACTTCTCTGAACAGTCACTGTCATGTTAGTGTTTGTGGGTCGCCTATTAGTTCCCTCGAGGGAAATGAAAAGACTATTAACCATACGTGACACAATATCATATGGAGAGACATGATGCAATCCCACATACAGTGTGACACTGGTCACACTGACATGAGTGCAGTTTATAAGATTTAGAAATTGAATATAATTTGTAGGTATCTGTTTCACTCACTGTGTTGTTGGCACCAGTGTGATCACACATCAAAAAAGTGTTAAAAATTACACAATATGGCTATTTCTCTGTTCAATTCTGTGGAGAAAGCTAAATAAGATTGAGATTATTGTTTAAGACATAATCTTCAAAGACGTGAACACAAACTAAAATTCACAGAGCCTTCACTCTCTAATAATCAACCTCGTTCCAAAGAGCTGATATAACAATGACAATAGAACACTGAATTTGTCAAAAAAAGGCGCCTATTAAATATGTATAATTGTTGAAAATGATTTAAAAAAAACATAATACACACAGAGAATTCTATAAATGTTTTACAAAAACTCCATAAAACATGTCAGTCTGGGGTCGTCAGTTTAGGCAATGATAAAAAAAAGGAAAGATTTTGGGAACCACTAATTTAGTCTAAAATAACTAAATAAATAACAGATCATTAAATCATACGTGTTAATTTTCATTTTTTTACTTGTTATTTTTTTAATTTATACAAATTAATGTGTTATATTTGACACCAAAGCGGGGCGGCAGCTTGGTTCCCCTTTAGATCCACCCCTGTATACCACCCCTCTGTATAGCTCGACACTAGAGGACTTTTTTACATTCATCTGCTGAAAGGGGGGGGCGAGTATTTTGACGGTTTGGCTGAATTCAGGCTCATTATTAAATTGTTTCCCGTTGTCTGTACTTTCCTCCAGTTTGTCACACCAATATAAAACTGCTGACTCATGCACGCTATTTTAATGTGACAGTTACTCCGTGCTTTTGTGGATTTGCTTGTTACTGTACTACGGCATTATACAATAACATTGGCCTTTAGAAATCTTATATTATCATCATTATACTGTCTTCAACCTTTAGTGAGGGCAGATGAGACACTGTTAGAGCCTCACGGGGCGCTATATATTTCTTACACACTCTCCACAAACACACACCCACACAAACAGTATCTGTATTAGTCATGTACAGTGATGCAGAGGTGTTTAAAATAAGAAATCTTGTGTCACTTGAAAGAAATGGGATTTAATGTAAAAGTATTTCCAGTTATGATCAATAAAAACAAACATCAATTACATTTATTATTAACTGAATATTAATCTTAAAATCCTCAAAAAGCAAAGACATAAATTAGCTTTGGTTGAAATCTGTGTTGTCAAAAGTTGTTTGTGTCGTGCAGACAGACGGGTACATCCTGTCCTGGTCTGTGGTTTTTTTTTTTGTTAAGTATTTTATAGTTTTGCATTTAAACACCATGGGACCTTTCGCACTGACCCTGCTGTCACTCAGTAACCACCACAGTCTTGCACAAGTTAACCATTGTTGTCAGGCCTCGTGACTTCAGACAGTTTACTACACCAAACAAACATTGTAAGGCATTTACAACTGTGTGCTCTCCGGCTCTCTGTGTGAGAGTGTGCGGAGGCCAAAATGTTTTAAATATGTGTGAAACCTGCAGCATTAGCGACAGTTAATTAAAACCTGAGGACTGAGGTTTACATTCTGTTGTTGGTTTCTATTAAAAGCTAAACGTTTACACAGTTAAGCAGTTGCAAATATTCTGATAACAAGGTCTTTATCTTAGCAATAAACCTGCTATGTTCACTCATTACAAAAATACAGAGACTACATGCAACTAAATTAACACAATATGAACTAAATTTATTTAAAACAGCACTTGTTTTAAATATTTAAATCACTCTGTAACAAAATGTACACATTCATTAGTAGGGATTCACAGTCTAATGTAGAAAAGATAGATTTAAAATATTTGTGCTATGGCTTTGGCAACTACACATGCACCGTATATATAATACATAAACACATAACATGATCTCTTTTGTGATTTGAACCAAAAATATATAATTTAAAAGAATTGTTCACAGAGGTCTCTCTCATTCTTCCAGCAGATGTCAGCCTAGTAGCATCAAATACGAACAGCACACTCTGCAAACTCTTCACAGCTGTTGTTGAGGTTAAATGTCTCTTCTGTCCAGTTTTAAAAAGGCAGAGAGTAAAATAATGAAGCTTGTTTTTAACTTAAAACGTGAGAGCCTGCCAAAACTTACATTCACAGCATGAAATCTTGACTCTTGACAGCCTACAAAGACACTTGAATATAATAAACGTATTAAATTCACAGGTAACAGCGGAAGCTCCCAGAGCGTTCTGACATTTTAATGAGTATACGTCTACCAGACTTTTGTCCCTGTTTACTGCTCATGCTGAGATTTGGTGAGTGATCAGAGCGTAGCATTGAGCGACTGGACAGATGAGAAGTGCACATCGGTAAGAACAGCAGAGTTGTTGATGGGGTGAGCCCATTCTGGATACGTGTTCAAGTCAAACATGGCAACGCCCCATGTGTTCATGGCCAGAGAGACTGAGAGGACACCCAGGATGTTCATGACAATACCGGTTTTCACCTGAGAAAACAAGGGGCAGGAAACATGAGCGTTTGTGAAGAAGGGTAACAATATATTTAATTGCTGATGTGGGTGTCTTACCATGTCTTTGACCATTAGGTGTCCTGACGCAAAGGCGATGGAGTTGGGTGGTGTCGACACTGGTAGCATGAAGGCATATGAACATCCTACTGTTGCGGGTATCATGAAGTAAAGAGGGTTCACTGAGACATGGATAGCCTACAGAGACAAAGACAAAACAAAGAACAGCACATTTTTAGATAAGGATGTAAAGAATTTCATAAGATTTGTTTGTTGGTTTGCTAACGGTGCTGTGTGTCTCTTCTTCTTAGCCTGTGCTTTGAGCTAAATGCTAATGTCTGCATAACAACATGCTCACAGTGACAATGCTAAACTGGTGACATTGAGCAGGTGTAATGTTTAACATCCTAGTTCAGTGTGTTAGCATGCTAACATTTGCTACTAACACAAAGTACAGTAGAGGCGGATCATTAGTTTTGCAGGAATTTGGTAACAATAGGAACTCGACTGATTCAAAGTCTCACCAGATGGTCTAAATGAGTTATTACTTATATTATTATAGTTCTTCCTGAGGGGCACATGAATTTCATTACCAAACTTCATGGCAAATAAATACATATAATTCAGCACAACCTGAACTCTAAACACAACATAACCCTAATCCTAATTCTTCTGCTGTTTTTAATCCACTTTCAGTGCTGTTTTCTTAGCATTAAGCTAGCTTTTTATTTACACGGACGTGCAGTTTAGGAACTCCTTGCTACAGACTTCCTCCTCTGGGGTTGAATGAATGTATTATTTAATGGCAACCCATTCAATGGCTGTTGAGATATTTCAGTCTGTACCTAGAGACACATTGTCTGGTTTGCTTTGGAAGGGGCAATTCAATTGTCAGTGCAACCAAATTACATAAACATTTTTTCCATTTACATCTAGAGCTATGGAGCCATGCAGGATGATTTGGTCTAATTTGTCCAGGTTTACGACATTCCTGAGATGTATGCCTTAACCCTATTTAAAAATTACATTTAGATCAATTAAAAGCAGCATATCTTTCCAGAAGGAAGTCAAAAGTATGAGAAAGGCTACATATCACAAAAGGCAAGTGAGAAAATATGTTTGATTTCTTTTGTATTATTGGTGAACTGATCCTTTAAGTTAAATTCTGAATGTTCAGTAAGTTTTTAATATAAATGAGAACTCAGGACAAAACTAAACCTCCTATACATCCTGTAAACAATTATTTTAGTGCGTACTATGCAGTATAGGGACCACTGCAAAGTACAAGTGCCCCAGACAATGATTACTAACAACAGCAGTTAATGTCCAACAGGCTACAGACATAAGAACATCTATCGCAAGAGTTTAACAAGCCTACTAAGCCCTTGACTAACACAAAGGACGAGGTCAGAAACAAACCCTGTCTCCCGTCCAGTTTATGAGTTTCTACTGCTTTGTCTTTGTAACTGAGTTTGTCTTCCTCTCTGTCATCTTCATCAGTGAGTTACACTGTGTGCTCATATGAAGCCTTACTTGTACTACAAGGCTTTCAAAGTTCATTACAGCTATATTGTCTGTCCTGCATTTCAATAAGCAGGAGTTTGTAATATTCAACTCAGTGGAAACAGGAACGTTCCTGCCTAACTTCACAGGACTTTGAACCTCTTTGTGAAACACTTTAAGTCCTATAGTACAGGTCTTAGCCATTTCAATAACAGGAACACACAGATAAAAAGAGTCTAACGCTCTATACTGAATATCTTTAAGTTTACCAATCTTACCAGTTCAGCAATGACGGGTAAAAATATGATAATTGTGGCAGTGTTGCTGGCGAACTCTGTGAAGCAGGCCAGAAAAGCAGTGATCAACATCACAGCTGCAGCGGGAGGAACCTCGGCCAAAGGGTGGAGGTGGCCTCCGATCCAGGAGGCGAGTCCAGACTCCTGCCAAACGCCACAAGATCGGGGTTAAGGGGTCAAAGATCAAATCACAACATAATAAATCAAAGCAGAACCAAACAGAGCAGCAGACCAGTCACATAGTCGACAGGAGAGAGGAGGATACATTCATTACATGACCATTATGACATGTAAACTTCGGAAATCTGAGATGAAACAAAACAACAAAATCTTAAAGGAATAGCTTGACTTTTTGGGACACTTATTTACTTTGTTGCCTAGAGTAAAGAGAGAAGATTGACACAGTACAGTAGTATATTAAATACTACTACTTTAAATGTAACAACTACAGCCAGCAGCTTGTTAGCTTAGCAGGGGGAAACGGCTAGCCTGACTCTGTCCAGTGGTATAAAAATCCACCGAGCATCAGCTTTAAAGTTCACAAATGAACACGTTATGTTAGCTGCGGTTGGAGGTCACAGTTTCTTGGCCCGGGTGCAGTGACTCCAGGAAGTCACTGCACCCAGACCAAGAAATAGTCCAGCACATAATTCCTTGTAAAACCACAGCTTTTTGTTCTATAGTTCTGTTTTTGTAGGGAATAAACAAATATGATATAATATGGGAGTTACAGAGCCAGAGTAGCTGTTTCCACTTGTTTCAAGTCATTATGGCCTAAAGAAACACAAGAGAACATAAGAACAACATGTTTACCTCACAAGCTTTAGCCATAGCAAAGCCGCCTCCGAGGAGCAGAATGATATTCCAGGGAACAGAGTCCTGGGCTTTCTTCCATGATAAGAGAGGAATGTATGGAGTATTTGAAGCTGGGGAAAAATATGGAAGGAAACACTCAATAAAGACCTTCTATTTAACATTCTGATATTATATGTAATAAAATATGATTTAATATGAAGCTGTGATCATAAAATATTCAGTATATGTCATGTTTTAGTTATTACAGTGTTTCCTACAGTACAGTATGAGATTTCAAGCCTCTGAATTGGTAGTTTTAAGCTGCACTTTACTATAAACAGTGTCTTGTTTTCTTCCTGCACATACAGTAGGTGCATTTCACAGCTCAACAGTAATTTAATAAATGGTATGTCTCATTTTCAAAACATTCGACAGAATAATAGAAATATGAGTGAGAACTCAAAAATCTAAAAGTAACTCAGAGGCACTATAGGGTGCAACTAAAAATGTGTTTAAGAAGTACTTTAGTGAATTAGCCTTTTAAACTAAAAACTTAACCACACATTTGGAGTGTTATATTTTAATGTTTTCAGCGTTCTTGTATTTTATTTGTATGTTTATATTTAATCCTACATATGTTTGTGCTGATTTTAATTTAAGTTTTGGTGAGACACAATGGACAATTTTCCACTCTGTTAGACAATAGTTTTATTCTCCTCTATTCTAAAGTCTGACCTACAACAAGAGGGACGAATGAAGCCCATTATTTGCTTTTTTGTGGGCCTTTTCTTTTTTTTGCTCGCATGCAGTGGTTTATTTGACCAGCTGAACATAATATACACAATCACACACACACACACACACACAAAAACACAGAAACACGTGCGTCCAGTTTGTGCACATGCTTACACTCTTACACAAACACACACACACACTCACAAACAAAAGCCCCAAAGTGTGACAACATAGTTTTGAGGGATTATTCTAATCACAGAAACAGAGAAACTGTAGTTTTAGCTCCAGACAGGAAATTAATTCAGACTCTCTAATCTACATTAACATTCCTCAGCTTATTTTCAGCTTTTTGCAATAGCTGTTTCTACAGGCACAGACTGAGTGTCTTTGAATCCTTCACAAATATTTAGTCATCAACATTAACTACCGCCTTCGGTCCTGATGCAACCCCACAAGCTGCTAACTGGTTGCTTCCATTTTTATCTCTTATATCTGCACACATTATTTACACCCTAACCTAAATTATATTATCACAGTCATTTAAAATAATAGATTAAATATGAGTCATAACTGAAATATGTCAAGTTCGAACCCTTAATAGGTGTTTTGTTTAAGAGCTCACTGACCTTGAGGGTCCAACCACCAGCTCAGAGAGGGTTTCTGCGAGGGGAAGAAGAACAATATGGACACAATGATCACACCGGTGACTGCGTCTGAGACATACCTGCAGAGCAACAATAGGAGGAAATAATTAACAGAGATTGATAATTGAAAGGGGTTGCAATATATAAATTCTGTGACCATTTTCAAACAAGCAAAGTACTTTTCATCAAGTGTGCCATTCTCACCCTTTTTTGAAGAACACAGACCACCCGGTGACAAATTTGGGATCTCTTGTGAACAGGAGAACGGCAAACAGTATAAAAAAGAAAGAAATCGCTCCCTCTGCAAAACTGAAATTGAGCATGAAGAGTAAAAGTCAGTAGAAGGCTCTGTGATAAAAAATGTACTCATTCAACCTGTACTGCATGAGATCTGAAGACATACACGAGTCCTCACTTTATGGGCCCTAGTTTTCTGTAATCGTCCTCTATCAGTGCCTGTGCTCTGACCTCAGCCCGGGCTCTTTGGTCGTGTTTCTTGAAGCACAATCTGCATAAAATAAAAACACACTGTATGACACATTTCAAGAAAAGGAGGATGAAAGAGAGCACTACTTCATATTAGGAAAGTGAAATAAGAATGGTAATGGTGTTTTCCCTCATATGAAAATAAAACCATCATGACATTTTGCCTTTATTGAATTTACAGGGTGCAATGTAAGAATATCAGTCCACATTACCGTGTATTCAATCCCCCGTAGAGGAACGCGATCCAAAGCCAACCCAAAAACAGGAAGATAAGCATGAGAGGGAAAGCGAATGCAAACCAAGATCCAAAATTGATGAGGTCGCAGTCTGGAAAGTAGCTGTAAAGCAAAGACACTGTTGTCAAACTACTGGAAAATGATTGTTTCTATGATGCCAAGTTTTCACTGTTTAAATGCAGCACAGATAAAATGTCACCTTTTCAGCTGTCCAATCAGGATGAGGTTGGGCGCGGTGCCTGTCAGCGTGGCGGTGCCTCCGATACTGGCAGCATAAGGAATACAGATCAAGAATCCTTTCCACACCTTCAACTGATACTGCGACTCGGATCGGATCTCCTCAGATGTCCTCAAGTCACTCTGCTCCATCCCATCCATCCTTTTGAAGATTTAAGAGACATTATTATGTTAAGTGAACAGTGGACAAGTACATGAACTCCACTAGAGTTTGTTCAGCAACCTGTACTATCGAAAAAGAGGAAAAGGAAAAACATACATTTGAGCCTTAAAATGCAATTTCTAACCACAGATGAAGCATACAAGTAAGTCATGGATCCATGTAATCAGGTGTGAAAATGTGTAAAAAAATCGACTAATCTGTACTGTAATGTATTGAGATTTGTAAATGTGTAGACAAATCTGTAAGTGCAGACATACATATTGTCTCATGGGAGGCTGCAGATTTGTCTACACATTTACAAATCTCAATACATATTTACAGATTCTTTTACACATTTACAAATCTGATTATGCACATACGGATTGAGATACAGTTACACAGTAGTTTTGCTACAGTAATGGCTCCATATAAACCGGCAACATTGGTGGTGAAAGCAAACAGATCTGTCCATGCACTTTTGATTTCTTCTTTTTTGGATTTGTAATCCATAGCTAACCTCAGGCTTCAAACTGGTACTCCACAAACCTATGGGTGACGTCACGATAGGTTCACACTTGATTGATACTACTCTCATTAAGTTTACTTAATTCTTTTTTTAATGTTTTTTTTCTTTTATAGCCACTGGAGAGGGGCTATACAAGAGCCACATGCGGCTCCAGAGCTGCAGGTCGCCTATGCTTTGACATTTTGCAAAATACCCTTATTGTCTTTCTTGCTGAGCATTAGATGAGAGGATTGGTACCATTGACTATATATATAATGGCTTAAACCTGTATTCTATGTAAAGCCAATAGAGCAGGGGGAAGCTCCATTGGACACTGATACCATTCACTCTAATGGAAAGTTACATCATTTCTCACTTGATTTATTAGCTCAATAAACAGTTTTCTAATGACTATTTCCCACCTAAAATTGTTTCACAAATATATTTTAGTGTAATCTGTAATACGAGATTGTGTGTAACCAGGCGAGCTGCCATTGTTTCTTGCTACGGACGAGTCAAAACCGTGCAGCTAGCTTGCACCTCCGCTGGCTCTGACAAACCGCCATGGCGAAAACCTTAATGCCAAACTCGAGGCTTCAAAATGGTACTCCAACGGTTATGTCTTGTTTATTAAATCCATACAAAACTTAGGTATAACAAATGTCAAGTTTTAGTTTTAAGGTAGGTTATGTGCTTTAACTATTTCTTGGATTTTGTTACCTTCAGACAGCTAAGCTGTTTCCAGCCGTTGCACCAAGCTAACGTTCTCCTGACTATAGATTAATTTTCATTACAAACGAGAGTGGTATCAATCTTCTATTCTAACTTTGAGTAGGAAAGCAGATAAACATATTTCCCAAAATGTCGAACTTCCTTTAAACAACACTATCAAAACACCATCTGAGTTAGATGTTAATGGATGTACAGGATTATGTCAAATGATCTCAGTGTG